ACTAGATCTAAGATTGTATACTTGTCTGGTTTGAATGTGGTAGAATTAGTGATTCTGAGTTTATATAATAAGGTTTTGTCTCTTGGAGCTGATGATTACACCATAATAAATTAATTACCCTACATATAATTCTGCATATCTCTACCTCCAGCTACTGAGAATTTGAAGATTCTACCTGATGCCTTTAAAACGTTTTAGAGAAAACCTTAACTGTGAAGGCCTTTTGTACACCCCCTCCCCCTAAGAGCCTCTAGGGTCAATTGCTAATGAGATGATTAGTTAATAAATCCATATTTTGCATACAAGATTTTAACTGTTTATATTACATTTTAGCAATATTTAAAGCTTAAGACTGCTTTGCTATATTGATGAAGTATTTTGCTGGCATCAGCACATTATATTTCGAATAAAGTTGACATCTTAGTTAAAAGAGTAACCTTGTTCTTTAAAACATTAATTTTTGACCATTCAAGTCCAAATTTATGGTTGCAAATTGATTAGATATGTAAAATCAATTGAAATGAGAAAAATAACTATTACCATTGACTCAGCACTTATCACAGCATTAATTTTTATCTGTTTCAAGGTTCAGTTCAAAGTTAATCATGTAAATGTGAAATGAAATCACTAAAACCATGTAAAAGCAAGTATATAAGTTCTTAAAACTAGATTCTTAAAATCCCTACTTATGGAATATTACAAATTCTGCTGACCTTGCAGAAAAAATGCTCAAGGTAACATTACTGCATATTTGTCAAGTCTTCATCAGAACACATCAGACCAACATATTATGCATTAAAACATTGTATATACTCCAAAACAACCCCCTTGGCTTTCTTCTAGATTAAAAGCATCTCAGTGGCCAAAAGTGGCCTCTAAAAGCACTCCAATGGCCCCAAACTCATTCTAGAGGCCCCAAAAGCTTCCCAGTTGCCCCCCAGTGACCCCCAAAAAGTGACCCCCAGTGGGCCCCAAAAAGCATACTAGTGACGCCCAGTGGCCCAAAAAAGCATCCAAGTGGCCCCACTATGCCCCCTAAAAGCATCCTAGTGGCCCCTGAAAGCATCCCATTGGCCCCCTGTGGTCCCCAAAAGCATCTCAGTGGCCCCAGGTGGCCTCTAAAAGCACTTCAATGGGCCCTAAAATCATTCTAGTGGCCCCCAAAAAGCTTCCCATTTGCCGCCCCAGTGGCCCCCAAAAAGCATACTAGTGACACCCAGTGGCCAAAAAAGCATCCAAGTGGCCCCATTATGCCCCCTAAAAGTATCCTGGTGGCCCCCGAAAGCATCCTTTTGGCCCCCTGTGACCCCAAAAAGCATCTCAGTGGCCCCAGGTGGCCTCTAAAAGCACTCCAATGGGCCCCTATGGACCCCAAAATCATTTTAGTGGCCCCCAAAAAGCATACTTGTGACACCCAGCGGCCCAAAAACGCATTCAAGGGCCCCATTATGCCCCCTAAAAGCATCTAAGTGGCCCTTGAAAGCATCCTATTAGCCTCCAGTAGCCCCCAAAACCATCCTAGTGGCCCCCTGAGGCCGCCAGAAGCATGCAAATGGCTCTTCATGGCCATCAAAAGCAGCCTGGTGGCCCCCTGTGACCCCTAAAAGCATCCCGGTGGCCCCCAAGCCCTAAACATATTCCAGTGGACCCCCGTGGTCATGGGGATGGCATATTCACCTGGTTGCCATAGCTAACATAGGCATAGCCAGGGAGTGTAATGAGTGCACCCCATGTAACCAATCTGTAACCAATAAAAATAGAACCATTAGATAGAAGAGTTTTAAAATGCATTTGACTCGAAGCTTCTAGCTCAGTTTTGAAGGAAGTTGTATCAATTTTTGTAAAATTAAACAAAATCCCCCCCCCCACTGAGAGCTTGCTGCGCCCCTGATTAACAATTGCCCTTATGACATCAAAATATAACACAATCCAAATTAAATAATTTTCTATAGTTATTAGGTTATTTTCTGTCATCAAATTTTAAAAAGAATACATGTCAGTCAGATGGCCAAAATGTAACATTTCCTGAAGAATTCTCTTGTTTTCAGCGGATTGTTTTGCTACTTGCTGTTACCATAGCAACAGCGTGAATTGGACACTTTCATTACATTTATTCAATGTTCATGACCATACATGAATGAATGTAATAAACTAATAAACTCATCTAAAAGAAATAAACTAATTAACTAGTTAAAAGCATTAAAATAATAATTTCGCAGATTTATACATCATGATTAAAATAAAATACACAAAAACAAACAGTAATGACGTCATAATTAAGATGCAAATAACCTATTTGCATATTTTATGATCTGTTTGATTGCTTCATCTATTACCTTTCATTTGGTGCAAATTTCATCGAAATCTGAGTAACAATGACGAAGATAAGGGCCAAACACCGAAAAGAGCCCCTAAAAGTGGGTGTGGCATATTTACTTTGTTACCATAGTAACGCTGCTGCGGATTCAGAATTGCCAACTTAATATATTTTAGTGTGTTATCTATTACCTTCCATTTGGTGTGAATTTCATCGAAATCTGAGTTATAATGAAGGAGATAAGGGCCAAACACTGAAAAGAGCCCCTAAAAGTGGGTGTGGCTTATTGACTTGGTTACCATAGCAACGCCGTCGCGGATTCAGAATTGCCAACATCATTTTTCTTGGTAAGTATCACATATAGTTCATAAAAATATATGTCGCTTAGCTCGCCTCTAAAAAGGACACGGAATTACCTTTGCTCCCATACTAGTTCTTGTTTTAAGGTAGATATGACGTGCACGGACCTGGGGACAATTCGGGAAATACGGGCTAATCTCAGCTTTAAGCGTTAATGTCTGGCTTATTAAAAATTCTAACTATGTGCATTATATATCATTTTGAAGTATTTTTTATTCGCATTTTACTGAAATTATTTTTCCTTGAAAAGTGTGATGGGATCTACCATATTTTTTAAGTTAATTGTACTCCGACATCGTCAAATACGCTGTAAGGCGTAACATTTCACGCTTACACGGTTCGTTGAAATCGGGATAACTTTTGAAATACTGATCAGAATTTTACTAAAATTTCACATTTTATTCATTGAAACATGTGTTTTTATGACGTCACAATTGCCTAGCTGCTAAAGTTCAAATCGTCTTATATGAACGCTTTTAAGATTTTCAAAATTGTGTAAGGTTTTGAAGGCGAAGGAGACAAGCAATAAGTTTACCTTTATTTAACCTTCTAATTTAGGTCTGATTTCAAAAAAAAATTAACTGCACAATATTGTCATGGCGAAATTTACAAAATAATAACCGATTTCTTTATTTTTCAAATAATAAGAGAATGAGAGTTGCTTTTAGAGACTTGAAAAAATGTAACGCATCGATTTTTTACCACAAATCCAATACACATCAATTTTTACTAACGCCCCGAGTGGGTTTCCTGACCGTTTTTCAAAAATAAAAAAACCTTTTAGAAATATTGTCCTCGAGATCTTGTTGCTCTGTGAATTTTACCAGGATTGAATAAGAATAGAGCATCTTATTTTTAGGTTGACTAAACTTGACAAAATGTAACACTTGTCGTTTTTGACGTTATAATGCTGATTGCGCCCTATACTGCCCATTGTATTGTTTTGGTATTTTGACGCCATAATGTTACTCTAATTGTCCCCAGTTTCGTGCGACGTGTAAGAGTGAATGATAACACTCTTCCGCTACTAAAGCGACCGAATACAAAAATGCAATGGTACATGTAAGACGGATTATTTGATTTCTAACTGTTTTGTTATCGATTCTTTTCTGCATTTTACATCGGTTTGTTTGGAATTGTACATGCAGGTATAATGTCTAGGAATCTTGGCAAAATATGCCACCACTTGTTTTTGGCTCATATTTGTCATTTTTTGAAAATGTTCCATCAATTTGCTTGAAATTATACCTAATGTACCTCCTTTTAAGGTTACAGTGTACTTACAATCCTGAGTACTAATGTCACAGGCTGGTATCGAAAGATTTGTCCGCTGTGACGGAGCATGCTATTTTTCATAAAAACACTAAGAATGCTTCACGATTTATTTTTTAACTCATATGTTTCGTTATATCAAAGATAATTACTTACTCCATGCAATGGATATATCATTTGCGTGTAACCTTCACTTCTGTTTGAAGTCCAATAACGCTAGGAGTAAAATCTATTGAAAACGGCGCCAGAGTATCAAACTCTAAAATGTACCATTTCTTTTTTTAACTTTTTAATGGCATGATAAAGTGACACGATAATATTAACATATGTTTTAAGCATAACTCTGAATGTATTAATGAGATATTAATGCATTGGGTCTTTTTAGTTTTTTTAATAAAAAATAATATTAATATTTTTTGTCCGCTGTGACGGAGCATTTTCACAGTTCACATTTGCAACTGATCCGTCACAGCGGACAAAAAAATTAAACATTATTTTTTATAAAAGAATTAAAAAGACCAAATACATCAACATCTCATTCATACCTTCATAGTTATGCTGAAACCATGTGTAAATATTATCGTGTCACTACATCGTGCCATTAGAAAGTTAAACAAGAAATGGTACATTTTGAAGTATGATACTCCGGCGCCATTTTCAATAGCTTTTTCCCCAGCGTAATTGGACTTCAAACAGAAGTGATAGTTACCCGCAAATGATATATCCATTGCATGGAGTAAGTAATTTTGTATGGTATAACGAAACATATGAGTTAAAAAATAAATCGTGAAGTATTCTTAGTGTTTTTATGAAAAGTAGCATGCTCCGTCACAGCGGACAAATATTTCGATACCAGCCTGTGAATGTACTATTTTTTAACTAGATTTTGTAATTGGTATCGAGTCGTGCCATAACATCACATACGTTTTCTAACCAAACTAATCAATTTTCAAAGCTGACAAAAAATCAGTAAATCATTTATTGAAACGAGGGGTAAATCTGTGTTGAATCACATCGAATATATGATATGACCTTATCTTTGCATTTTCAGAAATAAGCTAAAGCATTCCAATTGAAGGCAACACAAGGGAAATGGTTTTGCGTCATATATCGACGTGTTGGAGAATACTGGTAGTTTCAGGGATATCTCTCGTCCTGCTAACGTGTTTATTTGTGCTATCAGTGATACCAAATGTAAGAAGAGGACGTTTAAAATACGTTGCAGATTATAGGAGAGTACGGCATAGAACTGCTTTTGACATTCCATCCAACTGGGACCCAGATTTGAATGCTACACCAGACAATAACTACAGTCGAGGAGAGGAAGTATGGACGGACAATTTCCGCAGAAAGGACATTAACTCAACACTTCTCCTTAATTTATATAAAAATAGTTCCAGGGAAATCCAAGAGGAAGTTGGCATTGCTCAAGTTAAGAAGAACGCCAACTTTACCTTTATGTCTCATAAAAAATATGTGGATATATTAAAACTGGTGAGTTCTCTTGATTTGTCAACATTTTCATCCTATGTACTGTATACATATCGCACCTGGCTCAGTGGCACCCGTTGTGGCTAGGGGCAGAGTCAAGGTTACCACTATCGCTTGGCCCTGGGTTCGATACCCGGTTGAGACAAGTTCGTTTGCGCGTTACGTAATTCTAGGTGTTTGACTGAGTGGTTCACGACTCGTATAATAGGCTGTGGTTTGTACTTGTATGTCTATGTACCCCTGCGCACAAAAGAACAAGGGCTCCTCCAAAGAGGGGTTTCTGGCTCTGTCTTCGAGTGTAAAATACGGAATATACCAATGAGTTATTTCTCGCCAAATATGGCGGTAACCAAGATACACTAAGATTATATATAATATAAAATTATAAGATGATTACGGTTTATAGGCATATTTGATCAATACTTATAAGGTCAATACTTATAAGGTTAGTAACTGTATGGTCATATTTAATTGGGTGATTGCTAGATTGTTTCAATAACCCAATGCAACCACAGTGAACAGAAGAACCCCCCCCCCTTAACTCGGGGAGATTTTTGAAAAATATAAAAATAGGGTGTTTTTGCCTTGTCTTGTTACGATTACACGACTCTCATGACACAACTATAACATGTACATTTAGATATCCCTTCAATGAAAAAAAAATTCTCACCTCAAATCTGACTTTATTGGTTAGAAGTCAAAGTTGTTCTTACACAAATATTGTTTCGTTTGTACATTATATTGTGTTGAAGTATATGTCGTCTTCGTTTTGTCTTTATTGTGTATAAGTTTTTTTAAATCTTTTACAGCCAAAAATCGAATTCCTGCCAGGGTATAAGAATCCATGTTGGGTAGAGGCTTTCAAAAAGGATCCATACGTTAATGCCGCCAAGACCACGAGTCAGAGGAGATATTACCAAAGCATGACAGAATATTACAACCATAGGTAGGCGACACCATGGCCCGAATAGAATATTTCAAATGAAAAAAGACATGTAAACTCCCACTAAAACTCAGGATGTAGATGGAAGAACGTGCTTAATGAGTGAAAACTTTGTGATTTTGTTTCGGGAACCTTAATTATTTATTCAAAGTATTTATCCTCGAAGATACTCTCTTGCCATGGTTATGTTTTTTTCTCTAATAAACGTTGTAACAATTTTTTACAGATATTTACAAAACATTCGGTTTCGCTTGCGATGCCTTCCTTACTACTATATTCTTGGCCAACCTAAATGCGGTACAACAGACCTTTACTTAAAGCTAAATTTACATCCGGACTTTGAGAAGGGAATAGTAAAAGAACCGCATTGGTGGACGAGGCAAAGATACGGTACGCAATATTAAAATTACTATACATGAAAAATGACAATTATAAACTATTTGTGAGAAATATGAACACGGCAAAGATACTATTCATGATATAGTACCAATTAAAATTTCTAAGAAGCATGTCCAATGTCATGTTTAAGAACCCCTATTCTTACTATTGAAAATGGATTCTAGAAAAACTATCCAACATGAATCGACTTATTGAGACTCGATCAACTTGAGTTCTTCTGAGAAAATGAGGATTTCAGCAAGGATGCATTGACTTAACATGGGGACATACATCATTGACAAATGACCTAGCATCCGGATACCATCAAGTATGTCCATGTTATGTCTAGGCCCCTCACTGAAATAATAATTTTCTCAGAAAAACTCAAGTTGATCGAATCTCAACAAGTACATTCATGACTGATAGCTATATTGCTAGAATCCATTTCAAATAGTAGGAATAAGGGTTCTTAAACAGTACATTAAAGCTTAACAGAGGCCTTTTTGAAATTTTGTGTTACCACTAATATACAAATATTTACATTATACATGATACTACTTACGGCTAGTAACATTCATCTTACTTAAAGTTTGTTAACTTGTTTGTCCTGTAGTTATAAAAACATAATATTATGTCATATTGGAGCAAAATGGCGGATTCAAAGTTTTATAAAAACGTCATACGTGTAGATTACAACGTAAATGTCGCAACGTAAAATTCTTATAGAAGTCCTATCAGGTAGATCTCAATTTAAAGAGGTCAGGAAAAGAATTAAATGTGTTTTCCCGAATTCGAATGTCCATCAAAATAAAAAGAAGAATCAAATGTGTTTTTCCCAATTCAAATGTCCCTCAAATTAAAAAGAAGGATTAAATGTGTTTTTCCCAATTCGAATGTCCGTCAAATTAAAAAGAAGGGTTAAATGTGTTTTCCCCAATTCAAATGTCCGTCATATTAAAAAGAAGGATCAAATGTGTTTTTCCCAATTCAAATGTCCCTCAAATTAAAAAAAAGATTTAAATGACTGAGTTTTTCCCGATTCGAATGTCCCTCAAATTAAAAAGAAGGATTAAATGACTGTGTTTTTCTCGATTCGAATGTTCATCAAATTAAAAAGAAGGGTTATCACCCCAATTCAAATGTCCCTCAAATTAAAAAGAAGGATTAAATGTGTTTTTCCCAATTCAAATTTCCCTCAAATTAAAAAGAAGGATTAAATGTGTTTTTCCTAATCCGAATGTCCCTGGATTGCGTTTTGATCAAAATAATATCGTAGAGATCACGTGAATGTTCTAACGAAGGCCATAAGAAAATGTTAAGACAAGGAAAAGGTCAACAATATTGCATTGATGTTTTAGGTCGTAATGGATGGACCCAATCTTTGGCTGAATATGTGAATGTGTTTGATCGGGCTTCCGTTGAAATACAACGCAGCTCTAAAATTGATAATACGACGCTACAAATAGTTAGAAACAAAATAACAGGTACAGTTGAACTTTCATATGAATTTGAAAATCATAGATTGATCGATTCATGTTTACGTCTTGGACTAATTTGCAATCTTTAATAACATTCGACATACTGTATAGTTATATAAAGTAGTTTCAAAAATAGAAATATACTTTGAATATAAGTACAGGGTGGGCCAAAAATTTTGCAACTTTTTTAAAAGGCTAGAAAAGTATCTTAACATTAAGGTATTGACATAGAATTTTTAGGAGAGGCATATTTTACCATTCAAATATTTTAGCTAATGCCGACTTCAAATTTTTTTTCGGATCTTTGAATATCAATGATAAATTGTTCATGTGTCCGAGATTTACCCTTTTTCCTAGAAAATGTGACTTTCTATGATTTCATGTGATCAACAATAACACCTTCATTATGTTACCAAATCTGCTACAATCTTTGATAACTGTTTAACCAATGTCTAGTTCAGGTTTAATAGGTTTATAAGTATCTAGTCACTATGGTATTATGTTATACTGTATCAAATAATTATTTATTGAACAAATGTTCTATGCATCTGCCTTTCATCTTCACTATCGCGTGGAGACGAGGGCGGAACTGGTTAATGGCGCGATCCAGTGATTCTTGTGGTAATTCTCTCCACGTCTCCTTCAGAACTTCTTTTAGTTCATCAATTGTTTGTGGGGAATGATCATTAGCTGCAATAAGCTGCTCCGGGTGCCCCCGTGTGTGATAGTCACAGGGGTTGGCATCTGGTGTATTGGGCAGCCATTCCGAAGGACTTATGAATCGAGGGGTATTCTCGTCCAGATATTCCAAAGTGACTTTTGCCCTATGGCTGGGAGCGCTATCCTGTTGAAATATGTAATCACCTGGGGCTGAAAGAGCCCTCATTCTTGGCAGATGTCCCTTTTTAAGAACATTTTGATTGTAAAAGTATGAGTCAATCTTACACCCCTTTTCTACAAAGACCATTTTTGACTTTCCCAATTTGCTAAACGCAATATATACCATCACACTTTGCTGAAAGTGCTTTCTACCACGTACAAGTCGGTCCTCTTTTACATCACGCTTTCTTGACTCCACGGTGACATAAAAGCGACCATTTTGCGAGTTGAATGGCCTTTGGAGTGTAAACCGTTTTTCATCTGTAAAAAACATTTTTCCAACATCTGCCAGGGTGTAATATTTTAAAAGACCTTTTGACCAAACAAGCCGCCTTTTTCTCTCTGCAACAGGGAGATCTTGTCCCTTTTTGCGCTTCAGCGGCTTCATTTAAGGTCAGATTTGATTATTCGTGTTATTGATGTACGAGAGATGCCAGTCTGTTTTGCTATTTCTCTTGGACTTTTCCCCGCCATGGGTTTGTCTTCCTGACTGCACAACAGTTCGTCAACAGTATTTATATTTTTTTGATTTCTTGAACTTCTTTGCCGACCACTCCCTTTTTACGCATAATTGAATCACGCTTCTTGATATTTTCAATGAGTTTGTATACACTTCTCTCGGACCAGTTCTTACTTTTAAACATCCTCATGATCTCCCTTGCCCCACATTTTTTCTCATGCACAATGGCAATAATGACAACTTCGTCAGTCTCTGAAATTCGACTGTCAGTTGGCTCTTCCTTTTTGAATGGCATCTTCGTTCAAATCTGTAAAGAGGGAGTGTTTCTTGAAATATGCAAATTACAGAAATTTTTGGTGAATTTTGCATTTCATTTTACCCATTGATTTTCTGCATATACATTGTTATTTTACTTTAAAATCACCAATATTGATAGAGCATAATGCTTTTTACTAATTTTCATATATAGAAATTATATAATTACCTGAAATAACTGGAGGAATGCCGGGTATTTTGCTTTGTAATTTTTTACACTTTTGCAGACAGATTTAGCGATAAGGGCTGAATGCGGATATAGATCACAACACACCACATATTTGATTTGCTTATTTGACCAACTTTTATTTCACCTATTACAATATCTTTAAATTTGAGAAATATGCCTCTTCTTAAGTTTCTGTAAAAAAAAAATCATGTCAATACTATACTGTTGTGATACTTTTCTAACCTTTTAAAAAAGTTGCAAAATATTTTGGCCCACCCTGTATGTGAAATGACTTATGTAATATTCAGAAAGAGAGGTAAATATTAATTGACTTCATGAAATGTCAATACTATTGTTTATTTAAGTTGGAACCTTGAAATATAGTTTTAAAGGTGTCGATGTCTTGAACGATGTTTTATCCGACTCTTAATTAATCTTTAGGTGATGCTTCTGCCTCAACACTCTGGGACAATGCTCACTGGGATAGCTATCATGGGAACGCAGGCCGAGAAGACCCTTTTTATTTAACTCCACAATTCTTACATCATCTTCAGCCAGATGCAAAGTTTATCGTTAGTCTTCGTAACCCTACACTTAGGTGAGAAATGAGAGTTAAAATATATAATCTGAGGGGCGGGATTCTTAGTGCATATTCGATGTGGGGTGTGTTCCCATGTTTGATTTGAAAACAGACGCTCTAGTAGAGATATCAACTTTCGAGATTATCATAACCACTCTGACAATCAGAACAGGAAGTCTTGTGATCTCCTCAATCTGTAAAATGTATATGAAACTGAGTTGACATTTCACCCTGTTAATTTACATTTTCTTGGAATATGTAGTGTTGATGTATATTGTAAAATATAAACGACCTTCAAATGGCTTCTTTGGTTATGGAACAAAATTAAAAACTTGTCCTGTCTAGGAACTGATGCAAAATAGCAGTCCACCCCATTGGGGATCCATCTCAGGACCTCTCACTATACGGTTGAGTGCTTTTTATCGCTGAGCTTCAGAACCGGTGTGAAAGAAATCTGGTCCCCTGGGGATTATGGTCCCCTTTCCTTACGGCCCTTACTGGCCCTGACTGTGTATAAATAATAAGTAAAATAATTGTAATTAGGTCACCATATAAATCAATAGAGAGTAGGACCAAAATTTGATAGGACCATCTGCCCTTTTACACCGGCTGATTTTGGAACACCAGCCTTGCTCACTGGGAGGTATCGTGATGCAAAACACGGTGTTCAAGTGACTTGCCTTATATGGAGCCCTATGTTAGTTTTACTTGTTGTATATTATAGTGGTTTATTCAGTTTTGTGTGTGTTTGTAAGTGTGAATCTTATAATACATCAACATTTTGATATCAAGTAAAAGTGCTTTAAAATGACAATTAATCAAATAGAAACAGTATCATGCTTTTACCAGCGTTATGATAATTTTATGAACAGCGTATATTTACGTATTACACTCTTGAGAGGGACATATATTAATTGTCATTGATTTACCTTATTGATACATTGATATACTAATCGATCAAATTTTAGGTTGTACTCCGATTACCTCTTCTTTTCATCGGCAGAAAAATCAGCTAAGGATTTCCACGCGAAAGTCGTGAAGGCCATTGATGCGTTCAAAACATGCACTAAACACTTCCCAGAAAGAGCATGTGTCTACAATAGCACATTTGCGACATATGATGATGGTGGTGAAATGACCTATTATACAGAATCAGTAAGTGGACGAGTAAGTGAACAAAATCAATAGAACATTGAACAAGATACAATGTTTGTGATGAACAACCTATGATTTTGAGTGATATCTTATTCTATTATGCACCTTCTCTAGATATTGAAATCTGATTTGTTCAAAGCTGCGTTTTAAAGAAAATCAGCAAGTATTTTTAAATACCCACCCCTTTTATGAACGCTATTGTAATAAACAACATTTTTGAATTAAACTCTACTGATTTTTGTAGTGCCAAATATTCCTGATATACTAGATCATCTGTAAAAACGTATAAGCGTCATATTTCCCTGAGCATTAATGAATGCACCCAACATTAATATGTCAAACACAGTGTCAAATGGGCACACGAAACAACAATGCATTCTCTGCCTTCCTCTGAATTGAGACATTTTTGTGCCAGTTGAATTTATGGATAATCACCCCATCCCTATGCAACTTATCTGCAATCTGCACTTTGTTTTGTCTTTAGGTTCGTTTAAGAATTGGATTGTACGTGGTCTTTATTAGAGACTGGTTAGCTGTTTTCAAGAAGAAACAGTTCATGATTATTAAGCTGGAGGAAAGGTCGGAGAATGATAAGGGGGTGATCGAAAAGATATTAGATTTTCTCGAGATGCGTAAGTTAATATATAACTCTACTTTAAAAGCCTTACACCTCCCCCAAAGGGCTTTGCAGTCCGACCCTCCCCCTCCCAACTTGGATATGACCATTTTAAAGAATAGACATCAAAAGTCGAGCTGATAGAGGTATTTGTTGGAAAAATGTCAAACATGAACTTCTTTAAGCGCTTTTTGGAGGTTTCGAAGAATTATTGTTCAAATCGGTAAAGTGTAAATGCAAATATGTATTTGAAATGTATCAAAAGGAGAACACGGTGAAAAATAAGAATATAGGATATAAAACCCATTTAGATTTATGCTAATGTTGTGTTATCACTTTCTTGATTAGGCCAATTGACTCCACTCGAGGAACAGGTCCTTGCAGTACAAGCACACGCCAACACAAGACGGAAGGAAGATGTCGAGATGGGCCCGATGTTCGAATCCACTGCAAAATTATTAGACGATTTCTACAAACCATACAATGACCAACTTATTGAATTACTAGATGATGCTCGTTTTAATTGGACTACACATATTTGAAAACCTAATTTTGTCTAAATGTCCAAGAGAAAGAACGGCTTGTTTACAAACTAGAGTTCTAAAACAAAAGGACCAAAATAACACTATATAATATTAGTGTACATCAGCTATTACATTACGTTAATGTAATCATTACATTATATTAATGTACATCATTTATTTTTATATGTACTTGATATACCATGCGTTGAAGCATGAAAAAATAAAACTGCTGATTAGTCCAGCTGCAATATAATCGATCAGAGCTTTGTCTAATTGCAATGAAAATGAATATATATTATATAAACGTAGATATTGATCACATCGCAATTATTACGTTACGTCAATTAAAGAGCGATATTCCACGTAACTTGAATTTAAAAAAATTACCACTGCCCATATATCTGTATCTAGGCATCATCAATCGCACGTGAACAACACTAGAAACCACTAGGTCTCTGAGTCTGACTTTCGGAACATATTTATAAACAATTTAGAAAACACAACTCGATGTCATTTTAGCCTCTTTATTCGATTCCTCAATTAATAGTTTGATATTCATATTTTTTGTTTTGTTCTGCAATATCCCAGATGCGAGTAGAAATAATCTTGATTTACGTCATTAAAAATTCACAATTCAGTGAAACTGATGTCATATTTGGAATCTACATCTAGAAATATGGTTTGAAAAGAGTTTATCAACTTTGAAAATTTGATTTTCTTTGAAAATGTGTTTTCTAGGTCGGGGAGATTCCTCATAGACCCCATGTTGTAAAACCACAAAAAGTGAAATATCTTTTCTTGAGTTAGGGAGATAATATTTTCTTTTACTGAACATATTTTAATTTCTATTACTATCAGATACTGAGAGGTAATATGTAAAGTGAACCACTAAAACTGATGCATATTCAAGTTTAAGGGAATTTTGTAATACCCTGCCATGTGAATTCCCCTGAATCAGCCACCTGGTGGCGAAACTGGTAACTACCTACTCGCATCTAAGTAATTTTATTCAAACTTTCAAATCTACATTCGGCATTAGATATTAAAATATAAGCGAAATGCATGAAAAAACTTCCCAGATCCATTTTACATACAACTCACGGTTCGATCCTTTGCGATCTCCTTGTCACCTTATATGAATAAATTGTCGAAGAGTACTATTTCTTAACGGGTACTTACTAAAACATCGCATTTCAATTATAAAGATTAATGGGAGCATGATTTCCAAGAGTTTCTTAGAACATGTTTTAATTTGAGATAGGTTTTGAAATAGAGCAATACAGTATCCCGGTGTAACAGATTTAAGTGTCCCCCGGTGGTCAGTGTCCGTGGGACAGCCAACCCTAGGGATCGGGGTCCTACGGACACCGATCCCTAGGGTTGGCTGTCCATTGGAGGACATTGAAAACCAGGTTTTATTTCCTATATTAACTAGGGTAAAATGGGGAGACAGTTATAACTGGGTAGACTCTCAGATCTGTCACACCGGCCAGTAACAGATTGTAATGTCCCCCGTTTATAGGATTTAATACTTGTAGTTACTAAGATCCAAGTTATAGTGTAGTCGAAATCGGATATCGGCATCTCTTCCACTGTGGCGTAATGGTATAAGCGTTGGCATAATGTGTATTTATTAATTTTGTTTGTATTTATTAGGTTATAGATATTCTTTATTTATTTTTTTTATTTATAGTACAAGATCTTCGTCGTCCAAAAGTATCATTTTGTTCGTTGATCTGCAGAAATCGTGAATCTTTGTATGATGAAACAACTCTGTATTGCAATAAATTTTATCCGCCCGAGCAAGTTGAAGGGTGGATATTACAAGAGAAAATTAGGGTAGACTTCCTCCCCCAAATTATGTGGGGGGCCAAAAAGAAAAAAAAAATTGTGGGCACTCTTTATGTCCAAATTACTCATAACTATGCCCAAGATGGTCAATTAACACCCCAGTCACATTTGTCGCACGGCGGCCGCAAGTCGACCGCAGATCAATTAAATCGGTGAATTTCTGCGGCGAGCGTAGAAAAACTACGCTCGCCTTGCGGCCTCCGTACGGCGAATGCAGATTTTTACAGGCCGCAGGGAAGGAGTAGAAATTATAACTCGGAGTTATAATATTCGTTCATTTCTGAGGTCCCCGTAGAAATCAACTGGCTCGACAAGATTGAATCATTATTTATCAATGTTTCACGATCACTTTTTATTTGATATTACATCCTAGCACTATGAATAACATTTTTAAATTGTCCTGATGTAAATAAAATGAAAAAGTATTATTTATCGACAGAAATTTAAAATTCACCGTGCGGCTGCCGTGGGAAATGTGACTGCAAAAGTATGAGAGCGCAGAAATTCTGCGGCGAGCGTAGAAAACCTACTTGCTCAAGTATCATTTGATAGAGTCAGAAAGTATGACAGTGATATGTCCAATCAATATGGAGAGAAAAAATCCCAACAACCCTACCCCTTCTTCAACAGTGGGGTAGGGGTCAATATGAAAAAAATATTTTGTCAGTACATTATTTATGCAAATTGTTTTTTTATCCTGCCTAGGATGGTCAATTAGTATGAAGTTCACTATACATTTTGCAGGATTTTTGGAATTAATTTGTGATTTTAAGCACTTTACTACCCCCTTAAATCGATTTTGAGTATAACTAATTTGAAGAACATTCCCTCATAACATTTGTTGTAGTGCATAAATGCCTCTGAAAAAATTCCACAACCTTGCTCAAGTATCACTTGGTAGAGCCAGAAAGTATGACAGCGATGTATTGAATTAGTATCGAGAGAAAAAATCCCAATAGCCCCACCCCTTCTTCAACAGTGGGTGGGGGTCAATATGAAAAAATATTTTGTGAATTCATTATATTTGAAAATTCTTTTTTTATCCTGCTTAAGATGGTCAATTAGTATGAAGTTCATTATATATTATACATTTTGCAGAATATTTGGAATTTATTCACGATTTTAAGCTTTTTACTACCCCCCAATTCAATGTTGTGTTTACCTATTAACAAGAATATTTACTCATAATTTTTTTGTATCACATTGATACCAATGGAAAAATTCAACAACATTTGTATCACATTGATACCAATGCAAAAATTCAACAACATTGCTCATGCATCATTTTATAGATTCAGAAAATATGGAAGTGATTTGTCAAATAATTGTGAAGAAAAATAATCACAAGAACCTCACCCCTTCTTCAACTGAGGGTAGGGGGGCATTTTGAAAAAATATTTTTCAAGTACATGATTTGTGCAAACTCCTTTTTATCATGCCTAATATGGTAAATTGATTAAAAATTCGCTATTTATTAGCATTTTGCACGATGTTTTGAATAAATTTGTGATTTTAAGCCTTTTTCTATCCCCCAATTCAATGTTGAGTATACCTAATTTCAAAAGTATTTTCTCATAACTTTTTTTTGAGTGCATGGGCGTCTAAGAATAAATTCCACAATATTGCGTAAAAATCATTGGACAAATCCAGAAAGTATGACAGAGATGTGTCTAATCAATAAGAAGAAAAAAATTATAACAACCAAACCATTTCTTCAGCAAAGGGTAGGGGGTAAATATGAAAAAATATTTTGTGAGAATATAATTTGTGCTCACTCTTTTTTAGCATGACTAAAATGGTTGATTAACATACAGTTTACTATTTATTAGACATTTTGCAGTTTATTTGGAATCTATTTGTGATTTTAAGCTTTTTTACTAACCTCCCATCCCATGTTTAGTATTATCTTATTCCAATAAATTCCGTCATAGTTTTCTTGTATTGTGTCGATGCAAATGAAAGAATTCCACAACATTGCTAAAGTAGCATTTGATAGATCAAGAAAATATGGCATTAATGTGTCAAATTGTTGTCGAGAAAAAAAACACAAGAACCCCATCACTTCTCCAACATGGGGTAGGGGGTCAGTATGAAAAATATATTTAGCGAATACAATATTTGTGCAAACTCTCTTTTATCATGCCTTAGATGGTCAATTGATATTGACATTTGCTATTAAATTTTATTAGATATTTTCAAGATATTATATGTGATTTTAAGCATTTTACTGCCCCTCCACTCCAATTCAATGTTGAACATATTTAGTTTCAGGAGTTTTCTCTCATTAGTTTTTATTGTAGTTCATCAAACCAAATGAAAAAATTCAACAACATAGCATAAATATCATTTGATAGATCCATAAAGTATGACAGTGATATGTCAAATAGGTATGGAGAGAAATATTTACAATAACCCTACCCCTGAATAAACAGAGGGTAGGGGTCAATGTGAAAAATATGTTCAGCGAGTAAATTATTTGTGTAATTTCTTCTTTATCATGCCTAAGATGGTCAATTAATATGAAGCTCATTGATTATAAGGCATTTTGCAGGATATTTAGAATTTGTTTATGATAATCCTTTTGCCCCCCTCTCCAAATTCAATATTGAGTTTATCTGTTTTTCAAGTGTAATTCTCTCATCACTTTAGGTGTAGTTCAGGGAAGCCAATGAAAAGGTTCTCAAATTAAATTACTGGAATATATTTTACAAGATCCAGAAATTATGGCAGTGATGTTTCTAAATAATATGGATAAAGATCACTCCATCCTTTTCAACCCCTTTTGGATATTGATTCATACAATAAATACATTATCCTTATTATTGCATCAACCATAAGATTTCTATTACTATTATTAAGTATGTCTATTAACATTTTGTTCATATAAAAACTGATCCTTGTATGGGGAAGGAGGGAGAAATGTACAAAAACATGATTTATGGCTCACACAGTGAGCATATGGGATTTGACTGGTTACCATTTATAGACCATGATCTTCCAAGGTATTTTATGCTCATAGATATGTCATCTTACACGATGGCCAATCATGATATCAGTCTATCTTATGGTGGATTTAAACATTTGATTCGTCCTTCTGGCAATTAAATAATATGGTAACAGTATTTTTATGGTAATTATGGTGGACTTTGAAAAAAACTCAAAATGCCATATAATGCTACATATTAAGATAAAGCCACAAGCACACTGTTTTACTATTTAAGGCAGTGAGAGGAACAGTACATGCATAATTTAAGGTACATTCATGGCAAATTGCAAATGTCAAGGGTACTAGCATGTAGTTTGCTGTTTATTTGGCATATTAATAGATATTAGTTCTTTCGCTAGAATTGATAATATAAACTTGCTAGCTCGAATCGATTAAAACAAATGTAAGAGTTTCTG